GAAAGTTGGAGGAAGAGATCGACCGGCGAATTGGTGTAGCCAGTGGCGTTCTTCGTGAACTAGCCCGACCGATTGTAACTAAAGCAGGGCTGAGTCTGAAAACTAAGCTCTCAATATTCAAGTCGATCTTTATCCCCATGCTCTCGTATGGTCAGGAGTCGCTTACCATGCCAACCCTGGGTGCAAGCGCTTGAAAAAGGCTCTCTGAGGCGATACGTTGGGATCACACATCCCGATTATCATGGTCCAGAGTCCAGATATCTGAGAAATATAGGTGTATAGCTGCTGCTAAATGAAACTCAGAAGTCACGGACGCGATAGTTTGAGGACGAGCGACGAATACATTCAGAAACGAAGGCGAAACAGCTACAGCAACCACTTGCCCAACCGACCAACCTATGACCACGAGAATGGCTGCCAAGAACGAACCGGTGATAGTGCCTGGACAGAGCGTGCTCGAGAAGCGATTTATATTCCGCCTCATGATCAAGAATGCTGACGACATTGCGTAGCGCGTTTCTCTGTCACCCAAAAGCATAAGCCGTCATCGAAACTGGCTCACTGACTGAGATAGGTATATTGTTGTATAAGAACTAAGGCATGTCAGGTATAGTCTATAAGTTTAATGCGGCTTATATGCTATTACGACGTACATAGTGAGGAGCAGAGTAAATACAACACAATGCGCTACATATACAGCAGTATGCTTACATTACACCCTCTACATGTTATATTATGCTACAGTATTGCATATACAAATCAGGAGAGCCACACGCATATATTTTAATTTACTGCATCAAATAAACTATTCAACGATTAAAGACATGTGAATATGTAAATATTTTGAAGTCTAGAGTCGAAAAGAAAATTCCATGACAGATAGCAGTTTTAAAAAAACACAACACTCGACCTGACAGAATACCGACTTTCTTACTTGGTTTTAAACTGTGGGTGACCAACGACGTATGGTTGCACAGAAAAAGAAAATCACATTTAGAACCGAGTCAATTTTCCGCATCGACTTGGAGGTTGAGTTTGCAGACTTTCTAAATTCACTGAGCTTGTTAAGCTCGATTTACAAGCTGCTGCTGGTGATGACGTCATTCAAACCTCTTTAAACGCTGTTGGTGAATTGAACTAACGTCACCGAAATATAATGAGGTAATAAATGTCAACCCACGTATAGGAAAAATTTGAAGTTTTGTACAAACGTATGGTTAAGACGAGTCGTTCATGCCCTGATTCATAAACTGAGGGCAAATACCACCAAACATGCATTGCTGTTAAGTACAAAGCAAAGCAGGGGACACAAACTGACCGTTTCATTTGATGACAAGCCTAATCGACACTAGCCTTATCTTAATGGTAATCGGTTAGTCATTCATTAAATCCGTTTTCTTCCTTTTACGGACTGCGTGGTCGTTTAAGTTAGGGGAAAGGAAGGGATGGCAAGGAAAAATAATTTTATGATGCACTGAAATTAAAGGGAAGTATTAAAAGGTTATACTTATCAATTTAAAATAAAATGAAATAAATACTACTCTGATGTTTCCGAACAGCCACCACGAATGGTAGCATACTAGTTCCATCATCTTCATCTTCCATCGCCGCTGCTTCTTTCGGGTCGCAGAGGCAGACGCGTTAGACAGAGCTTCCAACGTTCCCGATCCTGTGCCAGAGTCTGAGCTTCGGCAAAAGACAAATGCAGTCTGG